TGAATTTCAATAGCATGTTTTCTGTTATAGTTCTGTGACTAAAACAATTATAAAAATGTTCTTATAAAAACAGTAACAAGACACAGACCATGAGGTTGATACAGAAGAGTGTATTTATTTTAAATGAATTTATTTATTGGTTTTCATTTCAATAGCGTGTACTTTTTTGGTGTCATACTTCTGTGAAAACAACACATTAAAATGTTCTCACAAGGACCTGGAATCAGCCTACTGCATAACCACTGAATTATGGAATGATAATGATTTTTAATATTGTTTTTCTTTTATTAATATATGTATTCATAGTAATAATATAATAATAGCCACTATCACATATCTTGTTTACAATATTTCTTATTTAAATTCAAGTGAGCGTTATAAGCGTTTGTCTTTATATCTTTCAAAGACCTTGGTGCACAAATTGCTTTTGTTTTGTTAACTGTAAAAACAATTCCGGTGGGAAAACATTAATTGTTTTATCCTTTATGTGTACTTTGTAGACGGTTCCTAGCTGGCCTAAGCGCTAGCACGCCGCTGCTAGAGACTTTATGCATTGCAACATATCGAGGAGGAGTAAAACAAATAAACTGCGATGTGTGTTCAGTCTCCACGTAATGCTTTTCAGATAAGCCATTTTTATACAATTATACTCATCCACTAAGAATTTATTGTTTTTTTTTCACGGCTGAATATCTGTCTAATATCCAACGTCAAACGTTGAACCAACTTTATATTGTATTTATATTATATTGCTTTTCAGATAAGCCATTTTTATACAATTATACTCATCCACTAAGAATTTATTGTTTTTTTTTCACGGCTGAATATCTGTCTAATATCCAACGTCAAACGCTGAACCAACTTTAATGCAATACCTGCCAAATAGTGAGCCATTTTTAACGCACATGTTATAAATGCTTAATAAATATATTTATTAATACTTATTTCACTCGAAACCAGATTCCTGATTTCATGATGCAGCAAAAATAGACTTTTATAGCGAGTCTAAAGGGTCTATCTCATAACTTATTAATAAATGGTTCAAAGATGTTCAGTTTACATTAAGGTTCATGAGTTATAACCGTTAATAACCTGTGAAAGTGAACCTTAATGTAAAGTGAACACCTGTGAACCATTTATTAATGATTTATAAACATTAATAACGTCTAAAAGTGAACCTTATTGTAAAGTGAACACCTGTGAAACATTTATTAATGAGTTATAAACGTTAGTAACCTGTGAAAGTGAACCTTAATGTAAAGTGAACACACTAATCATTTATTTATTATTAATGCACACACTGAAGGGTATTTTTTTCCCCAAGTGAAATGTAGTTTATTGTTGATGCACTATATCAGTAAACAACAACAACTTGAAACAACATTCCTGAGCATAACTGCACACGAAAAGTGGCTTATACAAGTAAACTCACATTAAACAATTCAGAAAAAACAATCAAGTATTCCACCAAATTATAACGAAGCATCACATCTATATGACAAAAATATTTGATAAATACAAGCTCAATAAAGGCACCTAAATATTTATACTTTATCTAATGTAACAATTTTGAAATAATCATTAAATCAATGACCGAAAGCACCTTTACAGAACATTATCATATTAATAAGCAATCAGTAATGATTTTTGATATCAAGATAAAGCCCACTGTAACATGAGTGTTTGACTATCCACACTTTCAGTACCTGCGCGCGAGCGAACCGTCCGCGGGAGTGCCGGCGCGGTTATTTATTTGTACAGTAACTACATTGAACTAACACAGCGATATCAACTTTTGAAAAACACAGTCTGCAATGTCACCTCAGTTAGCTTACCCGTAAAATCAGTAAACACTTATGTGAGATTACAGTTTCACTTCAGAGCACACTGGAACAGTCCTAACAGCCCGACTTCGAAAAGTGGCTTTGTATCGAAAGCTCACCAGCGCCAACTACAGGCTGTGATGACACGCAGGCAACTATAGACACAGGCTTTGGTGATGTGATCCTTTTTTATTTCCAAAATGTAACAGTGTATAACAAATAAGGCAAAAGTAGACACAGAATTCATGAGAAATGATCAGAAATTAGCGTATTGTCCCGAATATAAGACGACCCTGATTATAAAACGACCCCCCTTTTCCCAGATTAAAAAGGTTTAAAAACCAAATCTTGTTTTTTCTCAGCCACCTATTGTTGTGGGTGTATTATTGACATGTCAAAGTCTAGACCCTGAATATAAGACGACCGCGTTTTTTCAGATGTATTTCCAAGAAAAAAACATTGTCTTATATTCGGGTCAATACGGTATATATAAAAAAGCCCATTGTTTGTTGAGTGAAACTATTGACTGTGGTTCCCTGTAATTACTGTGGTTCCCTGACTTAGACAAATATCCTGCTATGTTTTTATTATTAGGATATGGTTAGCTGTGAGATAGCTTTTGTGATTGGCCGTTATATCTCGTGATGAACTGAGATGAGTGACAGCCATTTGATGATTATAAAAGAAGTTTGCAAATGTGACATTGATTTTATACAACGGTTCGATAAACAGTAAGTTAATATTGTGATTTACATTTGAGTAGTATTTAGTTATAATATACAAATTCAATTTCAGTTGTAAAGCAACTCTACGGAAGACTACTGTGTCATTAATCAGCTCAGCTTAGTTCAATCTTGATTCATTTAGTTCGCTAAATTTAAAATACTTAATCCCAGAAACAAGCAGATGTATTATTCTATTACAGAAAGAATGTCCATCTTATAAAAACACCAAATCTAGTACAGAGAAAATACAAGCTCTATATTCAGTAGAGTGTGTCTCATTGTAGAATGTGAAGTGCTGCTGGATTCAGTGCAGCAGGATGAAGGAGAGCAGAGAGCAGCAGAGGAACAGGAAGCTCTGAGTGATGCTCTGAGCACCGTTACACAGGTTCCCCTCACAGCATGAGATCCTCAACAGACTAAAAAGTTTTGTAGCATTACAAGCAGATTTAGAGACACAGCCTTTTGCAAGAAGTAACATGCCTCCCAAATCCCCTGATGTAAACAAAGAAAAATTGCAATTGGTGTGTAATCTGTATCAAATGTTTAAAATGAATGATAGAGAAATAAAACAATGATTAGAAACGTACTCCTTCAGATTCTCACCTGTTGCTGTAAAGCAGCGGTCTTCACTCCCTGAGCAGCGTAGTATGCTTGAGCAGTTGTGCCCATCACAATGGTAACATTGTTTTCCATTGGGGACATTTGAGGGATCTACAGGACAAAAACAACTGTCATCCTCGCTGGACAGTTTTTGCACATGGTCAGAAAAGCACAATACCTGGAGCGTCTTTGTCGTTACAGAGATCTGTGTTACAGCAGGAAGAAGAAATCTTTATACTGCCGAGGTTGATGAACCCACTTACACAGTCACCTGCTGGAGCACATCTTTTAACAGATGTGTTGTATAGACTGAAGGCTGCAAAGCAGAAATGAAAAGACAAAATAATATAAAATCACCATTAATGATTCCCCCCCCCCACATTTAAACCTAATATACATTTTGCAGCACCAATAAATTATAGCAGCATCTCCAACAATCAAATATAACAATACATTTAAATCCATCTTACTGGACTTATGAAAATATGTTTCACTTAAGCAGCTGGTTTGTCCACTGTCGCATGTTTCCTGTCTACAAGAGCCCTCCAGACACAAATTACATTTGAGAGAGTGTCCTTTAGTAATAAAGAGAGAGAGAGAGAGACATCAATTGTCTGTATTGGTATTAAAAAAAAAAATTTTGTTATAAAACAAACACGATTTGTCTTTGTACCTGAAGTGAAAAGAATAAACAGAAGAAAAACGGAGATTTGCCGATCCATCTTTGATCAGGAGGTGAGTGAAATAACGTGTCTGTTTCAGTGCTCATTTTATAGCTTATCAGAAGGGGAGGGTCTTTATGAGAAAATGAAAGTTTAATAGAGGTAAACAGAGAATGAATAGGTCTAAATAAACCAGTCAGCAGTAATGACAAGACATAAAATAACAATTTATCATAATACTCTATACACTACTCTAATGTATAGAAAAAGGGCCCGATATAGAACATTACACACACACACACACTTTTCCACCCCAGTGTAAAAATTAATACAATAAAAACTACATTATTGTATTTTACAAGTTAATATTGGCTATACAAGAAAAACATATGCAATGTACATTAAAACACCCTAAAAGAGCTTGCTAAAGTTATTATTTCCTTTTGAACCGGTGGCACTTTACTATAAGAAAGATATATTGTTTTTTAATGATATGAAGGTGAGTACATGAACTATATTTCCCTTAACACACTGTTTACAAAATGCATTACTAGCAGCACCACATTAGCCTGTTTTATAACAGGACGGTTACAGTATAAACCTTTGAACTTTACAGTTAGACTTCAGTTTACATATGAAAGCTTAAGATATGACCAACGTTGGGTGATGAGAGAAAGTTATTGAAAAAACCAAGGCAAGACTAGTTTACATCAGCTTTTCACTTTAATATATTGTATTGTTTCAACCAGCTCTGGGTGCTTGACTGATTGATGTAGGGAGATGAAACATCCGGTTTGAATGTAACCAAACCAGTTTCATTTTCTTTGCAAGTATGAACGGTCATTTAAGTATTTTGGATGCATGTTCCTACTGATATTCCATCATCTGCAAACCCCAAAAAATGTGATCGACACATTGAATTACACAAAAATGTGATAAATTCAGCGTCGTCCATTAACAAGATGAACAGCAAGAAGAAGACCTAGAAAACATCAGAGTGAGTCACTGATCACATTCTCAAGCACATGACTAATGATGTAAGGCAAATATGTACAGTGGTAGATAAATACACATAAGTTTTAGCAATGTTAATGCACATATTTTGCATATTTAATTTTCTTCTGTGGGAGAAACCGGTCTTAAGCTTACAGTATCTTGATGAAATTAAATTTGTTGTTTTAAACAAGCAAACATATGGGTGTAGAGCACAAAGTCCACATTGAATAGTCAAAGATTGTATGCAACTGCAGCTCCCTATTTTGAGCCTTGAGCACAAACATAAATTACTCTTTTCAAAACTGTTAATCTTAAAAAAAAAAAGTTACTTACAAAGCAGTCTTTTGTGGTTGAAGTGATGGTTCTACCATATTTATAACTAGGAGTTGAATTTGCTATATGGAGTATACACAAGACTAGATAATGATCTGAGATATCATCATTCTGCTGCAGAATTTCAACACCATCAACAATTCCATGTGACAGTATTAAATCTAGAGTATGATTTCGACAATGAGTACACTGCAAAAAATGCTTTTCTTTTAATTTTGACTTGTTTTTTTCTGAAAACAAGACAAAAAAAATCTGTGTTTTTGCTTGAAACAAGCAAAATAATCTGCCAATGGGGTGAGCAAAATAATCTTGTTTTCTGTTTGAAATAAGATTATTTTGCTTACCCCATTGGCAGATTATTTTGCTTGTTCTAAGGAAAAACTCACTTAATTTAGATTTTAAATTTTTTATATATTTTCAAAAAGAACAAGAGTATACTAAAGTTTTTGCATAGTTCCTGTATCAAATAAAAGCCCGCCTTCTGAAATACGAAATGTGCTGTGATTGGTTAGCTGAGCCAGTGTGTGCTG